ATGAGAATGTAAATTGTTTCTTTGGCTTGATATTTGATTATATATAGTCCTTAGAAAAGTCTTTATTTTTTTCTTAACCTCATATTATCACCTCATATCATCAACGTGTAGTTGGAGAAATCTGCCTTTATCACAGATCAGAAGAATTCAGTCATCAAATTACTTTGATAAATTTAAGGTAGTTTTGCTTAGAAGTGGACTCAGAGGCTTCCCTGCTGAGAGTCAAACACATTTTCAACCCCATTATAATAGTGTTTTCACTGACTGAGTTTCAGCAGTTTGGCACTGAGGCACTAAGGAAGGTTGACCTACAAACTGTAAGTCATTAAAATCTTTACCCCTCCTGGCTAGTATATTCATTACCTTTGGGGCTAGTTAATAGTACTTAATGCTTCCTGATGGGAGAGCCCTTTTCATAAAATTGTTTTTATGAAGACCATTCTTCAGTTGTGTTCTAATGGTGCCACTTCTGCTGGTTATTTTGGGGTGAGGATATTAAAAAGTTGGTAGCAAAATAAATTCTGTGGTTATTATGTATTCCTAACCATCTGATTTCTCAGCTGGGCTCAAGTAGCATAATTTTTTTTGCTGAACTCAAATCTAGGGTGACGTGGTCTTGTTGATTATTTTACCTCTAATCTTAATCTTTAATATTACTACCTGGAAATAGAAGGCGTGTTTTCAGATACTCTGATTTTCAGACTGACCCAAATAAATTTTTTGGGATGGATATAATTCTGTTTTATATAAACTCTGCTGTTAGACCTCACTTGATCGTAAGACCTTGCGATGTCACTCTGAGTTCCGTATTTCTCAGGTTTCGTTTCCATCATGTCTTACCGTCTTCCTGACAGAACTCCAAATCATTGCTCTACCTTCTACTAATTGCTTCTACAAGCTTTTTTAGAGTTTTGCTTTCCTCTAGACATTTTATGCTTCATGATTTTATTAAGGAGACAATGCAAGGCAAGCATAGCAAAACAATTAAATTACTTCAGGCTTTTCATTCTAACACATCCTTTGTGTTGCAGATCCTTTGAAAATGGTAGAAATCACTGTCTTGTCTTAGTATCTCCCGTGAATGCTGAGCCTCCATTATGTGTTCTGGATTTGGTAAACACTTATGGACTAAATGATTCTTCCTGCTATCTCTGCCTTCTAGCTTTTTCTCCTCTTTCATAAGAGAAAGCTTTCTTTCTCATAAAAACTTAATAACTTTTTTAAAAAATATTTTCTGTTCTTTTTTACTCATTCATTGATGGGGCACTCTGCTTTTCCAGTAACATTTCTTTAAAGAGAACCATTCACTGTCAAAGATTTAAGGCTCTTTGTAGAGAACCATTCACTGTCAAAGATTTAAGGTCAGTGGCCCTTGTAATTCTTTCCAAGGTGTGACCACCATGAAGATTAAAGAGTACTTAGGATAAATGCTCAATTATTGCAAAATTTATTTTTTAAAATGTCTGTGAAAGCTGGATTGAGTGATACAATTCAAAGGAAAAAAATGCTCACAAAACACTTTAGGAGTTCATGCTTTCACAGAGGTTTATCCTCAGTGTCTCCCATAGAACTGCATAATTCCAGTTAGTTTTCATCAGACCTATATTTACTAATTTCTTCTGAAAATCAAGAGATAGGTCCATTCTTCACACACATGTATAAGGTCTGTGGCTGTATGTCTAGGACCCTGAGTGTTTCACTGGAAGAAGACTACTTAAGTGCTTTAAGTATTTCCAAATGTAGATGTTAATTACAAAGAATCAATCGCTGAAACAGACTTTAGAGCAGGAGTTTCCAGACCATGTATTGCAAGCCCACAACACTGTTAGATACCTTACATTGCTTGAGCTTAGACTTTTTTGAATTGGTTTGGTTTTCTTTGCCACTGCTTCTGATTTTCTTGTGAAAGTGTGTTTTCTATCAATATGTAGAGAACTACAGACGCACATGTAAGTGAAGAAGTTGTCCAAACTGCTCAAAGGTTGTCAGACTTCATTAATTTTTTGTCAATGGCTTTTAGGTCAGAGAAATTTCTCTTAATCTTGGTAGTTTAAGAGTGTCCCTAAAGAATACAATTTTTTAAAGCTAGCTACAGAATACCAACCTTCAGGTTTATCATTGAAGATACCCACCATTTCAGATGTCAGTTTTTCCTGGCCAGACTCTCAAGTCCATTTTTCCCCATTTGCTATAGCAAACTCTTCTCAGCACGGTTTTCTTGGGTTTTTTCCTTTTTATTTATTTATTTGCATGATTTAAAAAAAAGGCACAAATTAACTCTTAAATTATTGGAGAAACCTACTTCTAGAAATGACCATCTATTAGGTGGAAAAGAGTCATTTTTTCTAATGCAGGCAGACTGCAGCTAAACGTTACTCTGATAACAAAGGTAGTCGTACTGGATTAGATTAGTTCTCCATCTAGTCCAATACCCTGTGTCTGGAAAGGAGCAAAAGCTGCATTGTAAAGGTTGTAAGACTGGAGCTAGTGTGTAGGTATATAGTTCTCTGAACATTGTCAGCTTTGTACAATTTGGAGTGTTTTTGTAAACCAGAGGTGATGTCTTTATACTGTTTCTCTGCAGGGAAACTGTTCATCCTTTTCAATCATACAAACTTTTAAACTTTTAACATCCATAACATCCAGTGGCAGAAAGTTCCATGGTGGCTTCGTTAGAGGTTGTGTGAAGAGCCACCATTTCCCGTATTTTCTCCATTATTCATGATTGTGGAGCTTTGTTATAGCTCCCACAGTCACCACTTCTCTGTGCTGAAGAGTACTAGTCCAATTCATTGTTTCTCTTACAGAAGTAACAGACATGATAATAGTTATGATAAGTGGCAGTTTAAAATGTATGTTGTGCGCATCACCTAATATAAGCCAAGACAGGAAGTCTCCAGCATGTGGCATTCACAAATACGTTCTCTAAGGGACAGAAGTGAACGATGACGCCATGATGTCCAACCCTCATGTTTTTCTCATGTATTGCTAACTTCCATCTATGAAATTTTATTAGAGCATCGCACCTTTTATTTATCTGTTAGTATAGGGAGACAGTCCACTCTATCAGAGGAACTACGGCACAACCTGTAGACCTTTTTACTATAATGTTTGCTTATATCTTCTGTCCGCTGAAAATTATCTTTTACTTTTTCATATGTACATTGTACTAATTTGTATGCAAGACTCTTTACTTGGAAAGGAATAGGACAAAAGTTATATGGTCTGAGCAGTAGGTGATGATTCTAGCACTGCTCTATTTATACTGTTCAATATTCAATGTTGTTGCATATGCAAAATTACTTGCAGCTTCTGAATTTCCAAGTATATGATATATATGTTCATTTTTCCCCCAAAAAAATGCTTTCCACAACTCTATTTCTTTAATCCTTCTTAAATACAGTTGATTGCAAAGTTATCAACAGTATATTGAGTTCTGTAACTGTAATCATTCTGATTTTGACACATTCTCTTTACAGAAAGAGGAATAAAAATACAGTATTTGCACTTTTTAAAAAACTGTTTTAATTTAATTGTATTCTCATAAGGTTGTTTTATGTTGTATCACAGACATGTAAATCCTTGCAGAGTTACTGTATAACCTTTTTGTCGGTGAGAAGGACTTAGCAAAGCCCAAAAGCCACAGTAGTACGGCAATAATGGAGAAGTCACCATAATTACAGTATTTTCCTTCATGCGTTCAGCCAGTGACGTCTGCAAGTTGTGAATTTTTCGTTTTCCTTTTCAAATTCAAGGCGTCTTTTAAAACTTAATGCTAAAACAGATCAAAGACAAATGTGGATTGAAATAAATTCATATTTCAGACTTGAAAAACTTAGTTTTATACATAATTACTTCCATTTGCTTGCTTTTTATTAGGGCTTTACTAAGGAATATTTATTTCTTTTATCTTTTTATTTACATACGGAAAAAAATTCAACGCAGTGAAGCACAACTGAAGTAACCTGAGTGCCAACAGAGCTGGATTTGATTTTCTCTCTCTCATTGATGAATTAATTCCAAAAATACCTGTTTTAACATTGGCCAGCAATATATGTACAAAGGAGAAATGAAGGAATGAAGTATTGGTTAAAAAACTGGCAGAGAAAGTAAAGTGGAAAGTTTCTTTTTTATTTTTCAATTAAAAAGTTTACGAAGAGAGAAGTTTTACAGAAAAAAACCTCTTAGTAGTACTGTATTACTGTTCAATTTCTGATTAAAGTATTTTAAGTCTCGCATGGAATGGTAATTAAAGTTTACACTTAGTTGCAATGACAATATAAAAATGTCTGAATTAATTTCTTTTTTATATGTCTAAATTGTTTCTATTGGGTCTGAATATTATCTGAATTCGTATAGATATTTCCAAACTGTGCAATTCTTGGCTTTGAAGAAATAACGGATACTGTTATGAACAAAGTACACCCCCAAAATCTGAGAAAGCTCTTGCTCTGTCTGTCTTTCCCTTGGTACATAATTAAGACCCAGTTAATAATCAACTTTTGAACAAAAGTAAAGCTCTGTTAGATTGGTAAAATCACTGGATAATTTAGATCACTGGAGGTCACCTGGTCCAGCGTCTCATCCCCACTCAAACCAGGGCTGACTTTTGAAGACAGGTCCGACAATATGATGGAAATGTCTCTGCCATTACGAATTTGAGCCTGAACTGGGTGACTTGGACCTCAAGAGTCTCCTGTTAGTAGTGTTGGCTAAAACAGTCAACATTATTTTTAATAGCGTCTTCTAAGAGAATCAGAGCCACCTATTATACTGCCATCTAAATTCCCAGTTTGCCGTCTCCTGCTTGCATACAAAGATTTTGTGTAAAAAGATGAGGCCTCCGGTTAACAGAGTAGTAATTTACCTATTTGGCAACTGCCTCATCCAGTTACAGGCAAGCTTTAATATAAGCACAAACACGCTGCTACATTACCTGTGTTTTAAAACACTAGATTGATCTGAATATTTTACATTCATTCCTCTTTTTTCCTTCACAGTGCCAGGATTTCCCTACCCTGCCGCAACTGCAGCTGCTGCTTACAGAGGTGCACACCTAAGAGGCCGAGGTCGCACGGTGTATAACACGTTTCGTGCAGCAGCACCCCCCCCTCCAATTCCAGCCTACGGCGGGTAAGGAGATCAGCCTCTTTTACCTACTAGCATGAATCTCCAAAGGCTACAAACTATTTGCGACTGTGGTGCATGCTGATCGTGTCTCACCGCGGAAACCAACGCAGCGTGCAACCAATCCCAGCGCTGGAAGTGGTGCACCTTGCACGGAGTATTGAAAAATGACTGTAATTTGTACTGCCATGGTTGGTGGCCTTAAGCATTTCAGATGTCACATATTGTTATGTAAATGTTCTTAGAAACTGAATGCTTTGGAACAGAGAAATTGTTTCAGCTAAAGATATATTTTTGATGATTGCAAACATCTGGTTATTAAGGAGGTTGGATCAAGTTAACTTCTTTTTCTTCAAATAATCCACTGAAAGTTGTCTCTGGACCTGAAGGCTTAGTGGTGTATTTTATTTTTTTTAATTGCAGTTTGTTTAGTTTATCTAGTTGATATCTTTACCATGATAGAAATTTGGGGTGCTTCTCTCAGGCCTATGTGTTTTTCAGTACGTTTGCTTAAATAATACCTTAAGATTTCACTGTCAGTGACCTGCATTACTAAAACCAAGTAGAAAACTAAGGAACAAAGGAGAAATTCATAGTAATAATTTCCAGAATCTTAATAATGTTCTGTTAATTCAGAAGATATATATAAATTTTTTGAGGTATATTTTTGAGGGAAAGAAGGAAGAAACAAATTCTCCTTGTAGCTCTGTAAATGCTAACACAGAAAGGTTTTGTATGCTGCATATAATATTTAAAAGTCCTAACACTGTCAAAAGATTTTTAGCTATTAAGAAGTTGGGAAGTTTGGAAAATCAGAAAACTTGGCAGATCCCAGGCCAGAATAGTATTTTGTCATAAAAATTTGTGGTAGATATGCCACCACCTCTCTGTAGAGCAATCAGTTCTTTCTCAGAAGGGCTCAGGAAGGGTTTGCAAAGTTTTGGATGAAGGTGATCTCTGCCTCCGCCCTCACTAAAGTCCTGTTCCACAGCTCATCTGCTCTCACTGTGGATATCTCCTTGTAAGGGAACTTGCAGCACAAGATTTTGCTATGATCCTGTCCTCCTACTTCGTTACGGTAGAAGATGGGTGCCCTTCACTACTTCCCTCAGTTTCTCATGAAGCCTTTGTTCTATTAAGCCAAAAGGTGTGTCTTTTTCTAGACAGGTTTGCAAATCTAGTCAGTCAGCCATTGAACTAAATTTTCAGGGATATTTAGGACAGGCGCTTTGATCATTCCTTCACATTGGGCAGTTATCACCTCAGAGAAATAAGATGTTCTAAAAATGAATATAAAAATGATGCCACAGAACCAGGTTATTTTGTAAAAGTGTGTTCTATTTTATTTAAGTGTTTTGTGTAGTTTAATAAGCAAACTAATATTAATTTAATAAGCAAAACAATATTACCACTACTGGAGAAAGACACCGTGATTTTTGAAGATTGTCTGAGTTACCTTTGGACAAGGATGGTCTCCCACCAAAGTTATCCTACTGCTGCCCAGACTCTTTAGAGTTAGTCCAGGTATTTGTACATGGCAATGATGGTAACGAGTTTAGAATGCCCTGCAAGAGCCAATTTCAATATGAATGTCTCAGCTACGAAATGGATACTGCATATAAAGAAAGTGGACTCTTTCTATCTCTACTTAGTTTAAAAAGAAATTAATAAATTTGAACACCGTGTACAATATGTAGTGAGATAACAACACGGGTTGTTACCAGTTTCATGATGTCACAAACGTAATATCTTAGTTTAATAGAAAGTCGTAAAATAATATAAGAAAATATATACCAGCTATGTGTGATACAGTTTTTGAATCGGACAACACTTTTTTTGTTCGTATATGCAAAATGGGTAACTACGTTCAGACCAGTAAGTAACTTAAATTTGCTTTAATTTAAGGGGCCACATGTGGGTGCTCTGTGTGTGTGTGTTATAAATTTTTATAGTTTAGTTAGTACAGCGACTCAGCAGGACGAATTAAATTTCCAAGTGTAATACATATATATTCTCATGTAATTGTACTGCTTACTTTCAGCATCTTTAGGTAGTAAGTTAGATGTATAAGCGTTTTGAACTCCTGTTGTAAGTTAATACGGAAGTTTTGCACTGCAGTCAGGTTCAGCAGTGTTTCAGAACTGGATTCCAAGAGGTCAGCTCAACACTCTTACGTTCTTCTGCAGGATGGTTTGACAGCAGTGCTTTGGAAGTTTTGCACTGCAGTCAGGTTCGGCAGTGTTTCAGAACTGGATTCCAAGAGGTCAGCTCAACACTCTTACGTTCTTCTGCAGGATGGTTTGACAGTTAGGTTGGACAGATCTCACCTACTACTTTCATGACCTGTCTTTGAAGCTGACTTCAGAGGCAGCCATGCATTACATCAGTAAGAAGTCACATTTTCTCATTGTTCTGATGACTTCCAGCTGTCTGAGATGAACCCTTAGTAATCTAGGGCTCACCTTGCCAGTCAGTATGTTTTCTAACACAATTTGACTCTGCAAAAGTTTTCAATTAGTAAGCTTTGTCTTAATTTAGATAGGTCTTAGTTCAGATATTAGTCAGGTTTAATTTTCTCCATCCACCTATGCTTTATAATAAGGCACTGCTTTTTGATGCACAAAATAAATTTCCCACTTTTGTAACTCATGGATCAGTGCAGAAATACATACATACCTCCGTTGCACTTATCCACAGTTGGATTAATAAAGCTTTATTCTGAAATAATTTCTTCGGTCTAGTGTATTAGATCTTATGCTAGTAACTTCACTGATACAATAGTACAATTTGGAATTTCTTTGCAGTGCTTTGTTCTGTGCTCGCCCATTATGTACCCTGACCTATCAAAGAAGCAAAAAGGAATTTTCATTAGAGAAAATCCTTAATCAATGAGAATAAATTATAAGAATGTGGTTTTCAGTCACAATGGGAGTAGGAGTCAATGAAAATTACAGAGATAATAAAGAGATCACAGAGAATGAATCAACTTACAGAGGAAACAAACAACTCGGAATATCATTTGTTGATAAGAAAAATGGAAAAAGCCTTGAATGCTATGTTGCAATTCATTTAGTAGCAATTTCTTATTTTTCACTCAAGGAAGGAGCCCAGACTTAGAGCCAAGCAAACAGTTTCATACTAAAGTATTTTCAATAAGAAAAATGGAAAAAGCCTTGAATGCTATGTTGCAATTCATTTAGTAGCAATTTCTTATTTTTCACTCAAGGAAGGAGCCCAGACTTAGAGCCAAGCAAACAGTTTCATACTAAAGTATTTTCAATATTAAAATATTTTCAATCATTAAAAAAAAAAAAAAGACATTTATTTTGTATAATGACAGCAATAACTTTAATTATAAATTTACATTAAACTCCAGCAATGTTTAGTTAGAAAAAATATTACTTTTTAAAAAAGAGCCCACATGTAAGTGTAAAATATAAAGCTGAAGTTTGAAATTACCTTTTTCATTTTCTTTTATTTCCTTAACCTTAGAAAGCTTATAACTGAAATAAAATATAATACTTGATCTGAAATAATCTTCTTCACACTTGTTTATATTACAGAGTTTTGGAACTGAAACTCAATCATTTTGCTTTAAATTTGGAAATCGACTGTAAAGCTAAGAACATGTATTTCTTAGACTAGTCTGACATGCTGCTTACTAGTGTTTATCTCAGCAGCACTGTCTTAGGATTCCGTGCTCTGTCACAAAGCCCTTCTTTCTATTCAGTCTCCCTTGAATCTGTGGTTGTTCTTGTTCACTGGTGTCCTGTTCGAGACGGACTGTGACCTTTTCTTAGAAACCATTTATCAACAAAGTTAAGAAATGGCAACACGTCCCAGGCTGTAAGGAAATCTAGGTGATCTTGTGGTCATTGGGCAAAACAAGTTAGTGTGATTCATATGGAAAGCTCTCTTCCACTGTGCCTCACAGTTACTGGGAACAGCAAATATGGCACACTTTGCTAGGTCTGAGGAAAATTGTTGAATATAGCCATATTTAAGGCCACTGTTTTCTTATAAATCAAAGAACAGCACACATGCTTTAAAATGTGTCATTTAAAAATTAAATCAGTGTTCATGAGATATGTAGCACTACATAAATAATGAATGGATCCTTTTCTTGTGAGTGAGGCATTTCACCAATCCTTGAGATAGTATCTTGTTTATTAGCTCATGGAAAATACTTCATTTTTAGCATCTGTGGCATCATTTCGAATGCCTTGAAATACTACAATGTGTGGCTTACTCATAACTTCATATGTATAATTCATTTATGTACCATAAAAACCTACTGAAACTGAAATGAAGGCAGTAAAGCTTCATTTGTGTGAGAAAACTGAACACTGAAATGTAAAGAGTTTGTAGATCTCTATTGCATGGAGAGCTTAGCTTCAACACTATGCTGCAGGAGGAAGAGAAGCAAGAGATGGTCGTGTTGTGTATGGTGTGAGAGGTGCACGGAGATCCAAGCCTGTCAGTATGGGAGGATGTAGCTGTGGAACTATGAGCTATTGCCTGCTTATCCCAGGGGGCTCTCCGGGAACTTCACAGCAAGATTGGTAACTTGGTTGAGGAGCAAAGCAGTTACTATTTTAAACTGACTAAATTCCTTTCATACCTTCTTTCTTGGGACAGCTTCCATGTGGGAGGATTTGAGCGTACTGCTTCTTTGACCTTTCTTGCAGGCTTCTCTCTGGGTACTAGATAGTGTTTTGTACAAAATAATTTTTAAATGATAAAAAAGAAAAAGACGACAGTGTAAAAAACGTCGTCTTGGTTTGACCTGTGTCTTTCTAGGATTATCTGTTTTATTGACAAAGTGCCTACTAATGGTGTAAGAAATGTCCTAATAAAGCAGAAGCTACTAGTAAAGGTACTCTTATGACAGATTTTGGGTGCAGTTGGCAGTACTTACATTGCCAAAAGAAAGGAGAAAGAAGCAGGTTTTGTTCTCTTTGGCAAACTACCGAAAGCAGGTGTCGTGGTTTAATCTCAGTCGGCAA